GGACGCCCTAAACCTTGGCTTGCAGATCACCCGGGACAGAGCACAGCGCACCATTACCCTGACTCAGTCACACATGGTGCAGCAGGTCCTTCAGCGCTTCGGCTTCACGTACTCCTCGCCTCAGGCCACTCCTCTGTCTACTCGCCACTCGCTCTCAGCTCTGCCTTCGGATGAGTCCGTAGAGTCGAGTGGCCCGTACCCAGAGCTTGTTGGCTGCCTCATGTACCTGATGACCTGCACTCGACCTGACCTTGCATACCCTCTTAGCATTCTGGCACGCTATGTTGCTCCTGGGAGACACAGACCAGAGCACATGGCTGCAGCGAAGAGGGTGTTGCGCTACTTGTGCAGTACGTCGGGCATGGGGCTTGTGCTTGGAGGGCGGAGTCCAGTGGTCCTTACTGGTCACGCAGACGCTTCTTAGGCTGACGACCAGGCTACGCAGCGGTCGTCACAGGGTTACACCTTCAGCCTTGGTTCCGGCTCAGTTTCGTGGCGGTCTACCCGCTCGTCTTCTGTTCTCGGCTCCAGCTGTGAGGCTGAGATCTACGCAGGGGCCATGGCTGCACAGGAGCTACGCTGGCTGACCTACCTGCTGACTGACCTAGGAGAGCCGCCTCGTTCTCCTCCAGTTCTGTACGTAGACAACAAGGCCATGCTGACCTTGTGTCGGGAGCACAGACTGGAGCACAGAATGAAGCACATCGCTCTTCGCTACTTCCTTGCTCGTGAGCTGCAGCAGCGCGGTCAGCTGCGCCTTGCTTACGTGGCCTCTCAGGCCAACACTGCTGATATCTTCACCAAGGCACTCGCGCCTTGTGACCATCAGCGCTTCTGTACTTTGTTAGGTCTTGTGCCTACCTTGCCTCACTTGCTCACTTCTTGACCTTGCTTGTACCTTGACCTTTATATACTTGCACTTGCATGTTTAGCTTCATATATATATACCTGCATGTGGACTGGCCTTGTGGCCCTTGAACTTGTGCTCAGAATGTGTGGTGACGTTGTGATCCACCCTGAGCTTGCTGTGCTTTGCTTGACTGGTCTTGTGACCCCTTGTTCTCCCCCACTTTGCCTATGGGGGTGTGTCAAACTCATATGCTATAATCTGTGTAGGCTGTAGTGGGGTAGCTTATATGGGGTACAACACTTTAGGGTTTGGTACTTGTACTCCTCATGCTGCTCAATGCAATCATTCTCGTTCCAATCTCCACAGTACCCCACTTTGACTATGGGGGTGTGTCAGAATGTGATGTTTGTGTAGCCTGCAGTGGGGTACTCTATAGCGAGTACAGCCCGAATTAGGGTTTGCTATATGTACTGTACTGCATGCTAGTGAAAATCCTCTTTCCTGTTTCTCGATTTTGCCTAGCCTTTTCAACAGTTAGCGTCGAAAAATGCGTTCATCGTGAACAACCACGCCTGAACTTTAGGACCACCTAGCTGACTCGGGTCGAAACATGGCCGACGCTGCGGCTTCAGCGGCATGGGTGACGGCAGTGCCGAATCGTTGATCGGCGCCAAAATTGTGTCGCGCGGTTGGCTTCGGGCCGCATTCGTCGCCTCGGGGTGTGTCGCGCCATGGTCGTCGTCTCCGTCGTGGCGGACGACGCCATCGCTGGCCGCGCTCGCGGGTTGCCCCACACTTCCGTGTTGTGATGTCCATGGTGCGGGTTGTACCGGAGTGCAAGGTGCTTCTGATTGTGCTTGTTGTGCTCGTGCGACGTCATTCTGCAGGGAGGTGCGTTCCGCCGTCAGCGCCACAATTTCTTCTGAACTCTCGTATAGCAGGTGCAGCAGTTCATTCAGGGGGTCCTGCGTGAGTGTCGTGACGTCGATATGCTCGGCCATTACGAAAGGCATCGGCTCGTCTTAGTCTAGGCGCAGTCGTGGCTGCATGCGTTTTCGAGAGAACCCGAGGACAGCGGCTCCTTATGGGCTAAGGTGCGTGAGTCCCTTCGAGTGAAAAAATCAAAAGTTGATTTCCTGGGGTGCGGAGATGCTCGGTCTGAAAGAAAGTGGCTCTGAATACCAAGTGTTACGGGTGCAAGGAATCTAGGTAGTGAGGATTGCACCAAGTGTCAAACGAGTACAAAATGTGAGCGAAGGCATGAGCGAACAATTATACGGTAACATGGTGCATGCGAGGTAGCTAGTGCTAGGCTGGCAACGAGGCTCGGGCTAGTCCCGAAGCGTAGGCCGACACGGCAGGGCCAGTGGTGCATGGTTTGGTGAAACAATGTGCGCGAAGTTGGCGAAGCCCCGTTAGCAGTAACGGGCGAACAACGGCTGCTGCTGTACGCGATGTTGCAAGATGCACTAAGGAATGTTGAGAAAATTCCTTACACTTTCCCATGCCCAACCTAAACACCCAACTCTAGAGCCCATCTGGAATAGAGAAAATGGTCAGAATGTGATGTTTGTCTAGCCTGCAGTGGGGTACTCTATAGCGAGTATAGACCGAATTAGGGTTTGCTATATGTACTCAACTACCTGCTAGTGAAAACCTCTCTTTCTTGTTTCTATCTTTTGCTTAGCTATTTCGACATGCTATCACAGCAGGTCGACCCTCCTGGGTCGATCCTGTGGGTGGTCCCACCCGATGCTTCCGCTGTTGTCCTGCCTATCGCACGCCCTGCGTGCGCGATCTGTCCTGTCTGTCGCGCGCCCCGTGGCGCGCGACGTTTTTTCTTCCCGCCACGGGCTCGGGGCGCATGGCGCGCGCGGCGTTTTTCTGCCCGCCGTGCGCCCCAAGGCGCGCGGCGGTTTCCTGCCCCGTCGACCAGCGCGTCGCCCCCCCGTCGTCCGTCGAAGCGCCCCCGGGGACCTGCGCGTCGCCCCCCGTCACCCGTCGAAGCACCCCTAGGACCCGCGCGCGGCCCCCGCCATCCCAGCGCGCCACCCCGTGGGACCCGTGCGCCGCCCCCGTGGACCCGCGCGTCGCCCTGCGCCCCCCCCCCCCCCCTCCCCGCACACCTGAGTTCGCTTACCGCATACCCGAGTTCGCTTCCCGCACGCTTGTGCACGCTTCGCGCACACCTGAGCTCGCTTACCGCACACTCAGAGTATGGGGGTGACGGGTATTGGGGTGGCGGGTGTGTGAGCCATCCCCTGCTCCTCCTCCTCCTTCGTCTCCCACTGCTGCAGCTGCCGCTGAGGGGGGTGGGTGTGTGGGAGCCGAGGGAGTGGTGCTAGGGGGGTGATGTGGGAGTGGAGCTAAGGGTGCAGCAAGGGGTGTGTGAAAGGGGTGTGGGACAGCTGGGGGAAGTTGAGTGGAGGCAACCGTGTAGTCGTCCGCAGCGCCTGTAGCCCAGAGAGCCAGCTGCGCCTGTGGCCGTGTAGTCCAGGGCTCTGCACCTGGTAGCTTCAGTGCTGCGCACTCTTGGTAGCACAGAGAGCCAGCTGCGCCTGTCACCGTGTAGTCCGGGACTCTGCGCCTGGTAGCCACAGTGCTGCGCACTCCTTTTGCCCGTGTGTCTGCAGCTCCAGCCGTCACCTCCCATCTTCTCGCCCCCACAGTTTCTCCTCCTCCTCACTTGCCCTCTGTGATAGCCTCTAGCTTTGCTTATTCTTATGAACTATTGCTCTGCCTGCTTGTTGTGCTGATTATACCCCATTTTGACTATGGGGGTGTGTCAGAATGTGATGTTTGTCTAGCCTGCAGTGGGGTACTCTATAACGAGTACAGCCCGAATTAGGGTTTGTTATATGTACTCAACTGCCTGCCAGTGAAAACCTCTCTTTCCTGTTTCTAGTTTTTGCCTACTATTTAGACAAAAATCCCACCGAGCTGTACTCTAACAAACTCATGAACGAGATATGTGCGCCAACAAACGATGATGAGATATAGAGCGTGGTGCATTGTGGACATGAACTGTTTATAAATAGGTATTATAATAACACATTATCAATGTATGCATACAGTTTCTTAATCATCAGTTATGAATAGACAGCAGTTGAAGATATGAATTTTAATATATTACTTATAAATCCATCTGAAAGGCTAATTTTAAATCTCTTATTGTGTAATTAGATATAGTGTAGTATGTTTACATACAAATGTGGAACAAATGTGCCCATACCGCTGCTTTGTCCAAACCAAACAAACCCAATACGACTGCAGCATGTTGAAAAGCCCGCCTGACTGCGCTCCGCACCGCGAACCTGGAAATTGTATGGCGGGAAGGCTCCTCCCAACGGCGAGAAGACCTCGGAGAGGCTGAACAATCAGATTTCGTTTGTGTATCGACTGCCCGCTACACCTCCATTGTAATTTTTAAACTTTCTCACTGGACTCGTAGTCTGGAAAACTAAGCCAGGAAATCCGAGCAGTATGATGTTGTGGTACTGTATGGTCAGGAGAATCATCATCAACATTCCCCGCGACTGTTGTCAAGAATTCGTCAAGCGTTCAGAGGAACATGGAACGAATCGCCTTGAACCTGATTGGACCAGCCTCGAAGCGTGGAACTCCCGTGACTGGATGCCAGCGGCGTGCGTTTTTCGCAGAGATCGAAGGGAAGGGGACAGCGACTTGGCTGGGCGGGCGTGTCCATCCCCTGTGCTCGCGTAGCTGGGCCCAGTGTGTGGTGATGTGATCTGTCTGAGGAGCTGAATCCCTGTCGTTGCCGCGTCGGTTCACTAGGCTCACTCGGGCCATTCTACCCCTTCGCCGCGCAATTCCCTTGGCGGACCCTCCTTGACGTTTGCTAAAAACTCACCCACATTCGCTTCATGTAGCTCAGGCACTTGCTTCCCATACTTCAGCAGGCAACCAGTGACAGGCAATCTATGGATGATCGTTAGGACCCGCAGCTCACTGTAGTCGTTAGTACGGATCCCCTCCTCCTTTGAGTTCACCTTGAGGGGATTGAGCATTGACGTAGATCTTACCAAACTAGCACAATTGTTCCTGAACAAGGGACACAGACATGCAGGGCCAACCGCTCCTCTCGCCCAAGATGCGGCGTCAAGAGTCCGTAAATTACGGGCGCCGTGCTATGCAGACCGGTGCCGTTGTCGTGATAACTCTGGCGGCTCTTTTCTTGGCATATATGTTTTCCGTCGGGTCCTTCTCCAATAGCATCGCTCCCACCGCTGACTTGCAAACCTCGTCCCAGGTTCGTGTGGTGCAGATTACCTCCATATCTGAATGAACTCCCTGTGTCGGGCAAGAATCTTACAAACGCAGTTCGCATTTGTCTGTGCAGAGTCGCAAGGTGGGTGCATTTGGCTCTGAATCTACAGAGGAAACGGAATCTACGGTTGACGACGAGCCGGTGCTGCCGCGGTTGACGCCGGCACGCGTGTCATCTCGTAGCCACACCGAGGATCACTCCTCAGATTCCGACGCGGAGGAAAATTCTTCGCTAGAGAAACAGAGCAAAGCATCCGCGGTTGAGAAGGAAACGCTGGATTTGGAGCTAACCGTCGAGCGCGATGCGACGACGGACGTCGTGACGCAAGAGCAGGAGAGTAAGCAGGAGAAGCAGATGGAGGAGGAGGCGAGTGAGGCAGCCGAGGAGTCCAATTCCGCTGAGAAGGAGAGTGAAGAGGAATCCAGCGCCGAAAGCGACTCGGATTCCACAGAGGGCACTGAAGATGGCGGCAAGGATGAAACCAGCAGCCCTCCGAGAGAGGATGAAGCTGAGCAGACTAACAGGTTCGTGGACCGCCCTCGGACGTACGCGGGATTTTTGCAGATTATGGTCTTGCTGTGTGACGCAGACGGCTGGTTGGCATCATAGTCGCCAAATCCGCTGTTCCGAGATTCATGGCCATTCTCTAACTGATTTATGATGTCTGTGCTGCAGCGAGACTAAGGACGAGGAGAGCGAGCCGCAAGAGGAGAAAGTTGATGAGATTGAGGAGGAGAAGACGAGCAAGAAATCGAAGTCAAAGAAGGCAAAAAAGGAAAAGAAGACCAAGAAGGTCAAGAAGTCTAAGAAACATTCCAGCGATGACGAGTCCACGGACGATCAGCAGATCGACGCGTTTCCGGTGAGTACGCCGCGCCATGTCTCTTGTCCATGTCCTCTCAAACTAGTCCAGATCTCGTCTTCCGCGATACCTGCCCCGATTGATCGCTCAGGCAGTGGTATCCAGCCCGTTGCGACGAAATTGCAATCAGAATCTCCACTTTTATCTCACCTGTGACTAGCGATCCTTTAAACTCATCATCGGCCTTGATAGCCAGTATCTAATTTATTGGTGTGTGCACGCTCGGCAGGTGTGCGACCCGGAGCTGTCGGAGGTGATTCCGTGCCTGGACCACAACATCCACAAGAAGATGAAGCTGCACCTCAGTACAAGCCTCATGGAGCACTACGAGCGCCACTGCCCGCCCTCCAACCTCCGCGTGCGCTGCCTCGTGCCGCCGCCCTCCGATTACAAGGTACGGCCGCGACGCGCAGTAGAGGCGGCGAGAGGGGCGTCGGTCATCTCGTACGGCGATTGCCTCTGGAATCTAGCTTGACTCGGGTCGGCTTGCCTTGCTTCACCTTCACCCTATTCGGTCATCTCCATTTCTTGTCATGGCTCTCGCCCTCACCATCACGCTGTATCTCTCGCCATTCCGCTCATTCTTTGCTTTCATCTCTGTGCCTCCAGACGCCTATCCGGTGGCCCGAGAGCCGCGATGTGGTGTGGAGGTCAAACGTGCCGCACCCGTTCCTCGCTACCGAGAAGTCGGATCAGCACTGGATGGTCGTGGACGGTGACAAGATCCGCTTCCCGGGCGGCGGCACGCACTTCCACGACGGTGCCGACAAGTACATCCAGTCCGTCGGCAGGGTGAGTCTCTCGTCGCGCCGCGGCTCCGTCAGAAGCATTCAGACGCAGCTCCTTGTTTTTTTTCACCGCACAAACTACCTCGTTTTGGTCTATTCCGCCCAGATCATGCGTCCACTCGTCCTCGTACCCTCGTTCTCTGTTCTTGGTCCCCGACCTGATCCTTCTCCGGCTCTATTTGCCTTCTAACGATCCCCTGCTGGTTTTCATGCCCCACCGCCTGCCGCCCAATAGATGCTCAAGAACGAGGACGGCGATCTGTCGCTGGGCGGCAAGATCCGTACAGTTCTGGATATCGGGTGCGGGGTGGCGTCGTTTGGCGCGTTCCTGCTGGACCAAGGCATGATCGCCATGTCGGTGGCGCCCAACGACCGACATGAGAATCAGATCCAGTTTGCGCTCGAGCGCGGCGTGCCCGCTTGGCTCGGCGTGCTCGGGACCAAGCGGTTGCCGTTCCCGTCGCGCGGGTTCGATCTCGCGCACTGCTCGCGCTGCCGCATCGACTGGGGCCAGAGAGGTGCGTGCAGTGGTCGCTGTAGTACACCTACTTACCACCCTCATCCTCGCCGGCACCTTCCTCACTCTCTCCCCTCTCCCTCTTTCTCTCTCTCCCTCTCGATCTCTCAATTTCCTCGATTGTCTCTCCATCCTATCGCCATGTCAGACGGCGTGCTGCTGCTGGAGCTGGATCGTCTGCTGAGGCCCGGCGGGTACTGGGTGTGGTCCGCGCCCCCCGCGTACCGCGACGACGAGGAGAGCCGCACACTGTGGAAGCAAGTGACGGACGTGACCACGTGAGTAGCGGGATGAGATGCGGTGAGATGGGATGCGGTGGGTTGGGATGGAATGGGATACCGTGGATGGGATGAGATGCCACGGAATGGGCTTATACGGGATGAGTGGTGGGGACGTCAGGGTGGGTACATGCGTCTCGCACCTACCTCCTCGTCACACTCATCACCTCCCTCCCTCGCCCATGCTTCGCTCCACTCATTCTCGCCGAAATTTCCTCCCCCCTGTCTCATTAACCATGTCTCGCTCATTGCATGAATCCCCAAATTCCCCCCCCAATCAGCAAGCTGTGCTGGACCCTGGAGGTGCGCGAGGCGCAGACGGCGATCTTCCGCAAGCCCAAGAGCGGCACCTGCTACGCGGACCGCCCCGAGGGCACGGTCCCCGCGCTGTGCGACGAGCGCGGGCGCGACGAGGCGAGCAGCACGTACAACGTCTCGCTCTCCACCTGCATCGCCGCTCCTGCCACAGGTGCGCCCGCTAAGCCTCTGTTGCGCCTGCTGCTGCTGTTGGTACTCCCTTTCTCGTTCAAGTTTTCGTTCTTCACCCCCGTTCCTCCGCCTACTCACCTCTCCCGTTCCTCCTGCCCCTTCCTTTTCCGGTCTTCGTCACATGTCGTCCCCACATTCATCCCTGTAGCAGACGATGCAGTGAGCGTGGCGCCGTGGCCGCGGCGGCTCAAGGCGCCGCCTCCTAGAGTGGCACTCACTGACGTGGGCACCAACGCGTACAAGAAGATGAACGTGAGTGGCATGGGCATATGAGTGGCATGGGCGTATGAGTGGCATGGGCGTATGAGTGGCATGGGCGTATGAGTGGCATGGGCGTATGAGTGGCATGGGCGTATGAGTGGCATGGGCGTGAGTGAGTTATGAATTGAGAACAGAGTTGCCAATCCCGTCTTATCAACCGTTCACTCTTGCACTGTCACATCGCACTCCCTTCCAGCCAATTTCCCCCCAACAAATCCCACTTCAACAAATCTCCACCCTCTCTCTCTCCCTCACCATCCCCCCCACCTTCCCCCAAGCAGAAGGTGTGGGCAGAGCGGGTGGACGCATACTGGGCGTTGCTAGCGGACCGAGTCCAGCCAGACTCCATCCGCAACGTGCTCGACATGAATGCAGGGCTGGGTGCCTTCGCAGCCGCACTCACCGCCTCCAAGCCGGTCTGGGTAATGACAGCCGTGCCGCCCACAGACCAGCACGCACTCGAGGTGATTTACGACCGGGGGCTTCTCGGCGTGTATCACGACTGGTGTGAGGAGTTTTCCACTTATCCCCGCACGTATGACCTGCTGCACGCGCACAAGGTGCTGTCGCTGGTCACTGCGCGCCGCTGCTCCACGGACGATCTGCTCCTGGAGATGGATCGAATCATGCGCCCGGGAGGGTTCCTGCTGCTGCGTGACGCCCCTGCGCTGCTTGCTCGTGTGACTGACCGTGCCTCGGCGCTCAGATGGACGGTCCTGGAGGGCCCGCTGTCGCCTGCTGCTGATGGCTTGCCCGGGGACGTGGAGGGCGAGGGGGAGGAGGAGGTGATGGTGGTGCAGAAGGATATGGTTAGCAGTGCGAGGTGATTGCGGGTTTCCTTGCCTGTAGCAGAAGGAGCATCTACGGCTGAGTTGGTCCTATGACACACACCCAGTATGCCAATATTGGTGGTGGGCATGCTTTCGCCGCCACAAGTTCCACCATACTTACCCCACCCTATCCACTAGTGTGTAGTATTGTGAGAATGTCCACGTATGAGACTTCTGTTGAGTGGTCATGGGCGCACATGTGAATGCGCTCTTGTGCTTGAAGATAATAGGCGTTTGTAGTATGCAATTGGCATTGCTATATGGAGTTTGGTTAAGCTTGATAAGCGAATTTAACTGATATTCGATCGTACCGTATATGTAAGAGAATGCAAGTATCCTACCTTCATCTCAATTTGAGGGAGCAACGGACGATTAAGAGCGAGGTGTCACCACAGACTAAGGCATAGGGAGAGTAGAGCAGAGCAGTAAGGCAGAAGGTTGGTGGTGGCAGTGATAGTGCAAGTTGCAGCGAATCAACAAAGCAGCTGTCAGCAGTGACACAGCTGCTGGCATGACTCCAGAGAGTGGTAGCTTGGATATTTGGCTTTGATCCACACAGTCCGGATGGACTGACTCCAGTGATCGTCCACATACCGTATTACCCCGGATAAAAGCGCAGGTGCGCTTATAATAAAACAGTGTTTTTTGGGGGGGTGCGCTTCTAATTGAGGTGTCTGTATACGCGCATGCGCTTATAATAAGGAAAAAAATGAAATTTACTTTTAAACATACTAAACTGAAGCCCGCAATAAGGCGAATCCAACGGACCATGCAACAAGTGGGATCGTGCATGGTTTTCAGGCAAAAACAGCTGCGGTTCGGTTTCCCACCGCACAAAGTTGTCTAGAACCATCGAACGTGACAGGAGTGACGGGGATGTTGCCGTGCGGCCCAATCACAGCCGCATGCGCTGCGTGGCATCTGCATTTCTTCCGAACCCTCTCGAAGGGTGGGGAAGATTCCCTGCCAGCGCAGCGAATATGCTGCCACGCAGGTTCCTCTACGGGGGTAGGCGGGGGTTTCCTGCCTGTCATTGATGAGGACCCCGAGCCGCTAGCCCGCAGGGGTCCCCGTCATTGCCCATTTCTGCACCCTCCTCCTCATTTTTTTCATTCAGTTTCTAGTCTAGCCCGCCTGGCTGGCAAAGCCATGGCGGAATTCAGTGGGACGCACCTCCTTTTCAAGAAGAAACCAACCCGCGCCTGGCGACTAACCTCGGACTAGTGGTATACACGTGAGCCACCAGCGCCTCCAGTGCCACCTACACCCCCTGCTCCGCCTGCTCCTCCTGCACCTCCTGCTCCTCCTGCTCCTCCCGCTCCTCCGAATCCTCCGACTCCTCCTGTTCCTGACGCGTGGGGTCACCATCGGCCCGTGCTCCAGTTATATTTGCCTGCCACTTTCGACGAGTGGTTGTCTGAACCGGACACACCCAAGGCTAGGCAAATCAATGGTCCGCCGACTGCACCTCGGTGGTGAAATCCTGAAGCCTGCACGTGGGACGAGTCGGCTGTGGGCGCCGACGATGACGTGGCCGCCGATAAACAACCCACATGCGACGGCGATGCTGGAGGCGACGGTGGAGTCGACGGTGAAGAGGGCGCCGAGGAGGACGTGTTCCCAGATCGTGAAGCTACAGACGCGGACGACGACGGTGTGGAGTCTTGGTGGCGCGACGCACCACGCGAGAAGATGCCCATACCAACGTATCCGTCGATTAACAAAAAACGACCCCACCCCTCTTCTGAGAACCGAGATGCCCGCCCCCCCTCTCCCAGGCACAAGCCGACTCAACACAAACGGCAGCGCTACACCGCCCAGGAGAAACTGAAGTGGCTCGTTCGGCTGGAGCTTGCTGCATCGATAAGCGAGGTCGCGCGGGAGTCCGGCATACACCGCAAATGCCTCACAGAGTGGAAAAACCAAGCGGAGGAGCTCAAGGCTGCACACAGTGCTCGGTGTCGACTTCATGGGCGCGGAAGGTCTTCCTGGTACAGACCCATGGAGATGAAGGTGTACGCCCAACTCCTGGACTGGCGACGCCGCGGTGTGGCAGTATCAGTCGGCCGGCTGCAAGACTGGTCAAAAGAGGTGATGAAGGTGTTGTTCCCGGACGTCAAGTGGAAGGCGAGTCAGCGCTGGACGGAGCGGTTCCGCAAGCGGTGGAATCTCACCGTGCGCATGAAAACAAAGGTGGCGCAAAAGACACAGCAGCGTAAGTGCCTGTCCGTGCACTGTCATCCTATCGTGAAATTTTATCTTGTATTTCAGTACTTTCTTGCCCATGTTTGTTTATCTGTAGCGGTGCTCATCCGCCCTTTTAACCGTTCCTCTCTCCCCGTGCGCAGACGTGGCCAAGCAGTGCAAGGAATTTTGGCAGTTTGTCCGCGACGCACGCCACGACTACGACATCGACAATCGTTACATCATCAATGCCGACCAGACGCCTTTGTGGCTGGAGATGCCGGCGACTACCACGGTGGAGCAGACGGGCGTGAAGTCGGTGCCCATCCGCAGTGGTGGTTACCAGAAAGAGAGAGTCACTGTGATGCTGGCGTGCACGGCGACGGGCGAGAAGTTGAAGCCGTGGGTGTTTTTCAAGCGCAAGACCCTCCCAAAGGGTGACTTTCCGAAAGGTAAGAAACTGCGTATGCGCGTGTTTCCGAGGGGAAAAACAAAAGTAAAATCTAACCACCGCTTGCTTGTATGCAGATGTCGTGGTCGGTTGCCAAGCTAACGGGTGGATGGAGGCCTCGGGCGTAATCGAGTGGCTCGGTGTAGGCGTGGTGCCGTTCCTGAAACCGAAGTTCGGATTGCAGAGCCGGAGCGCCATGCTAGTGCTCGACTCCTATCGTGGACACCTGACACCCGAAGTCAAGGCGAAGTTCGCGGAACTCAACATCGTGCCGGCGGTCATCCCAGCGGGATGCACGGCAGACTTGCAGCCGCTCGATGTGTCGGTCAACAAAAGCTTCAAGGCGAGTGTTCGGCAGCAGTACCAGACCTGGTTCGAGCAGGACGGCATGAACATCCTGACACCCGCAGGTACGCAAAAGTGTTCTCCCGTGACCGCTTCGTCTGTATGTCTGCCTGCTTGTGGACCCACGTGTTTCCCACCCCCGTGTATGTGGTGCAGGGAACATTAAGAAACCATCTCCGGAGGTGGTGCTCAAGTGGATTTCACGGGCGTGGAAAGCTGTGCCCGCCGACCTGATTAAGAGAGCGTTCCTCACCTGCGGCATCAGCAATGCCCCTGACGGGAGTGAAGACGGACTGGTGCTGGCGCACCGGAGAGGTCAGCTATCCCACGAGGTAGAGGTTGATGACGACATCCAAGCAGACGGGTTCTTTGGCAACAACTCCACGGAGCCTGAGTCGGACGAGGAGTAGGCCTTAGGCTAGACTAAACTTAAAAATGTTGTGTTGGCTAGGATGCTAGTCTAATGTATTTGACTTGAAAGTTTTAGTTGAAAATTTTAGCTAGAGTAATGTAGTTTGTACGAAGGTTGTAAAGAAAGTGAAAAAAACAACAGACATTCTTGTCTATACAGCAAGGGTGCGCTTATAATAAGTAAGGTTTTTTTAGAGGGTGCGCTTCTAATTGAGGATCGGCCATAAGCGCATTGCTCCAGATAGAAGCGCATGCGCTTAAAGCCAGGATCTCAAGTAGTTCAATTGTTTTGCAGTTGGTGAGGGGAGCTGGGCTGCGATTGGTTAGCGAGGTGAACAATCTGACGAGGTGTGAAGCGAGGGGTGCGAAGTAAAGACAAATCGCAAGTTCAGTCCGAACCAAGCAAGGCTCGGAAACTGGTTCGGTGACGAAGCTCCAATGCCTGCAATTTCTCGTCACACACAACAATCTCATGTACCAGCAAAATGTTTTGCATTTGCTCTAGGGGCAAAATCGTGGGTGTGCCGCACGCTCACTTTCCTAACCAGCCAGTCAATTCGCCTACAAAAATAGGGTAACAAGCGCTGCAAGTGTTTTGCAATTGAAGGCCAATTCTCTTACTTGAGATCCTGGCTTTAACATAGGCCTGCGGTTATATCCGGGGCGATACGGTATGGATCGGGAGGCAGGTTGTACAAATGTTCTCGATTTGAGTCCCCGTAAAAAACACGCGCGCTGCAGGCCTTTGTGGAAAACTTACAAACCCCGGGCAAAAGGGAACTTGTAGTCCCATACCGTCATCGCCCGGATATAAGACATATATGTCTTATCTCGTACACTAAAAAAAATGCTTGGGTTATCTTGTATTTGGGGAGGTTTTGGGTGTCTTATAAGTCTTATAAATGGAAACTTTTTTAAAATACTTAGAAATATTTGCACACATCTTGAAAAGAGTTTCTCATTATTGTCGGAATCTTGCAACTCTACTCTGCCAAGTCTTGTTTCTACTCCTTTGCCTCTAGTGGGCCCTGCAGCACAGTCTTTCCGAGTGGTGCCCTCCTCTGAGCCTAAGTGATGTCTGTAGTTCTCTGCTACTCCTCCCCTTGTTCCTGTGCCTTCTCCACTTAACAAGTCCTGTAACGCAGCCTGTATCTAACCATGTAAACCCTAGCTCGGCTGACTGGAAAACAGAATGTTGGGGTCTGTATTGCTTGCGGCTTTGGTTTCACGTGCTCAGTTCGTTGGGGGTAGACGGAATAGTAAGCATGAGTATGAAAACAATCACGCAAGCAACCTTTCCCCTGTCTGCCTATTTCTTAAGTATCTTCGTTAGGTTACCGTTGTGCTAACGGATCCCTTCTCGCCCGCCAACTCTCTAATGTTTCGGTTGTGTCGCTTCAACCACCCCGCTTTGCTAGTCATCCTCCCTACTGTACTGTTCTACATTTCCTATTAGTCACGATGATATATCTACTGCTCTACGCACAGATTAGAATCGTGACAGCTGTCGGAATCTTGCAACTCTACTCTGCCAAGTCTTGTTTCTACTCCTTCTTTGCCTCTAGTGGGCCCTGCAGCACAGTCTTTCCGAGTGGTGCCCTCCTCT